ATATATATATATATGTCTTAGGAACATGCCTGCAGGGGTAATCGCATTATCTCTTATCTGTCCTAGATGTTGACTGGTAGATCAAACATTCCCAGACCTCAATACAAAACAAAGACATCTCCTGGGAATATCCTACAACAAGTTCTGACAAACAAAAAGGTATCACATTCCTTGAATTCTGAGGCCTTTGGTCACTCCCTCTTCATTAGCATTCTGCTTTGTAGAGTTATTTACTGTAAAATGGGTGGTCAAGCCAAGGTGGGTGGTTCTACTGTTTTTACAATGCATCCCTGATCCTGCTTTGCAGGTGAGCCAGGTCCTGACACTCATATGTTGTTTCATGAAATTCATCTGTGTCTGCCAATTCCTTTCGAAACAGTGACTCAGTACATTCTTTCCATCTTCTTTTAGTACTTCCTGGATCATTTAATATTCTGCCAAAAGCATCCTGATTATAGCAACTCGAAGTTTGAATTTGTTCTTCGGTTCCTTGAGCTTAGGAAATACTGAGCGAGTTCGGCCCTTTTGATTTTCTGACTCCAACTCCTTGCACATTTCATTGTCATATTTTATTTTGTCAACCTGTGCTGCCTTTTGAAATCTTCTCTTCAACTCTTTAGTATCATGAATTCTTCTTGCACTTTGGCTTCTCTGTGCTCCAGTGCAATTTTCAGAGTCTCTTCTGACATCCATTTTGGTCTTCTCTTCCTCTTCTGTCTTTGCAATGACCGTTTGCACTCTTCTGGATGACACCTTTGATACCCTCTCACAACTCATCTGGTCTTCAGAGATGGTTCTGAAATTCAGGTGGGATAGACTCAAAGTCATATTTTGGTTCCCGTGGATTTGGTTTAATTTTCCTCAACTTCAGCTTGAACTTGCATATGAGTAGTTGGTGGTCTGTCCCACAATCAGCTCCTGGCCTAGTTTTCACAGCTGATACTGAGCTTCTCCAGTGGTTCTTTCCGCAGATGTTATCGATCTGATTCCTGTGCATACCATGAGGTGAAATCCATGTATATAACCTGTGTTTATGTCTCTTAAGGGGCTATTTTATTAGTTTTTTTAAAGTAACAGAGATTATTTTTAATGTTTCCAGGTATATACTTTTTAAAAAAAATTTTCCCTCAGGTAAAGAATTTGTTTACTTTTATTTTCCACTTATATATGGTATCTGGTCTTTATTGAATTAATCAGATATCTAATTATAGGATATTAATAACTGAACATTAAAAGTTCAAAATGAGCAAGACTTGTTTAGTTTTACCCGAACTCATTGTTGTTGACTTGGAACCCACTCAGTGCTTTTCAGAGACTGTCAGTTGCATAGGAGGAGATTGTCCTTCTTTGTCCTAGAGCAGCTGAGACTGATCTGTTTGAACCATTGCCTTTGGAGTGCGAGGACAGTTCCCTTCTAGGCCACCAGACTCCCTTTTTTTAGTTTGCTGTATACTGGGTTTGTTGATTTCTTTTGTTGTGTGGTTTTTTGCTTGTTTGTTTGTTTTTCCTTACTATCAACTTATCTGTCCTGGAAACTAGAATGCAGTTATTGTTTCTCTTTTGCATTTTCTTTTTTACAAACTAACCTACCTACTAAAATGCAAAACTAAATAAGCTTTTGAGAGTCTTCATTCTCTTTTTGTCCTGGTAATCATTAGATGAAAGTTAGCATTGCTAAGAGACACTTTACAAGTACCTATGCACATTATCATTTAATTTTACACAGCTCCTGTGGAGTGCTTATTACTATTTTCCCCCTTTTCCAAATAGGGAAGACTGAAGCTTTCAGTGGTAGGTGTCATGGAAATTACCTAGCATAACTCAGTCAATTGCTCACAAACTTGGTCAGATTTAAATGCTGGCCACAGGCTTTTTCTGTACATATTCTAAATTTATTTCTTCATACTCTGCGCTGTAAAACTCTCCACATATTCTTCTTGATAGTGTTCTAGTCTGATCTACGATTACTTGAACTACTATTAGGAAGACAATTTAGTTCATTGGCGATCACTGGAAATGCCATCATTTGTCATACTTTTGCAGTCTCTTTTCTCCTTTTGAAAGGACTCTCATATTCATTTTAAATTAGAAAAGTAATTCATGTTATGATTCCAACTTGGGTATCTTTTTCTATCGCCTTATAGCTGCAGTCCGTGCATGTGTGTGTGGGTGGGGGGGTGATGTGAGATTGACTCCTTCAGTGCTTGCGGCTTGTACAGTCAGATTTACTCAGCGCTGTGTGTTGTAGTCAACATGAGGACACTGAGTGACAACATATCTTAACAAATCTTTTCCATCTTGAAAATTTGATAAGAACTCTATTACACTAATTGCTTTTGTTTGTTTATTTTTAAACAAGACGCCCTGAGACACGTTTTGGGCTGTTAATTCCAAGGTTTATGGTTAAAATCTACCATTTGTCCTCTTTTTAAAAGATAAAGTCCTGGAAACCCAGCACAGGGTCTCCATGAGTCAGAATAGTTCACAGAAGTATTTTTTGGGTTTTGTTTAAGTGTATTTTTTTTAATAATAGTACTTTATAGACCTGCTTCTAGGATAACGTTTATAGGTAAAGAACACTCATTTCTTTCAATAGTTTCACATTTTATAAAAGGATTGGTACTTTTTAAAAATATGTTTATATGTAGTATTATAATCATTCTCCATTTGGTGACGGTTTAATTTTCGGTTTAGTTTTTTCTAGACTTTGTTGCTCTTGTTGCTGTTCTTATCAGCAGTGCTTCAGTAACTGTTCTGGAACAGAAGCGCTTTGATTTCTCTAAAGTAAATTCCTACAAATGGGGTGATGGTGGAAAAAAGATACTGTAGGAACATCATTGTGTTTTTTTAAAAAAATAGATACCCTTAGTTGATCTGATCAAATTATTAAAAATAAATATCTTCAGTGGGGAGGGGTGGGCAGGGAGAAAATTGCGGCAATGGAATGAATGGAAATCCAAAACCTCTGTAAAAAAAATAAATAAATAAAAGATAAAAAAAATTTAAAAATAAATAAATAAATATCCTCATAACCTTAACGTCAATATCTTGCCCTCACACCCTCAGCAACATTGAATGTTAATAGTGTATGCAGTTGTCAACAGTTTCACAGGTTAAGAGTATATTTTTGTATTTAAAAACCTTGCTATTACATTTATAGGCCCTTTTTAGCAATTTTTATTTAAATTATCTGCTCTTAACCTTTTCTTACCTAAACTATTGGTTTGTTTTGGCTTCTTTCTTTCTTACCAGTTTATGGAAAAGTTTTGTATATATATTGTTTATAAATATTTTCTTATTTTACTATTTTGTATTTTCTTATTATGGTGTATGACATTGATTTCATTTTATGTTCGAATTATAGAAATGAATTAATCTATTAAGTTTTCTAATTCTTTCAAATCATGCCTTCTCAGCTTGAGATGCTAATTTAAGTGCATTCTCTGGCTTTTTATCAGTGATGTTGAGGGAGAATTACTGGTACATATATCTGTGTAATGCCACAAAAAAGAAACTGTAAAAACACACTATTATAATAATAGAATATAAGCTAATTAAACCTTAAGTTCCTCTTATAAGGACATTTGTAAATTTATTGCTGTGTTACGTCTTTAGTTTTCTCTTGTGTGATGTTTATCAAATTGTTCCATTAAATCTAGTAAGAATTTTCTTGTTAATCCATTTCCCCCTTTATTGCCTCCAAACGTCTAGAGAAGGTGATACAATTGTATGGTGAGCACTCATATTTTCACTTAACATTTTGCTGCATTTTCTTTACCGTGTGTCAGTCACGTTTGCATTCTTTTTATCCATCAATCCATCTTCTTTTTGATGCAGTTGAGAAGAAATCTGTGTATTTCTACCTAAATATGTCAGTATGAACATTACTAACTAGAGTGTAGTATTTCTTTAGGATTGTTTTCTTTTTTGTGGTAAGATCGCATGCAATGAAGTACATATCTTGAGTATCTAATTCATGACTTTTCACCAATGCATAGAGAGGCGGCCTTTGTTTTAACAGAGCAACTCCCTATAGATAATGGTGTCATCAGAGTCCCAGAGAGCATGAGGCTGGGTGCCCGGCTAGAGCCCTCCAAGAGAGCATAACCCTAGAATGCGCTCTCACTTCCTGCCAGTCGCCTTCATCCACATCCCAGAGGCAACCAGTGCTCTAATTTTTTTTCCTCCTGCTTTATTATTTTTTGTCTATTCTAAAACTTTAAGTAAATGGTCACATACTCTATTATACTACTGTTTTGGGGTGGGGTTTCTTTTTGTATTTTGGAGGTTTTCTGGACCTCCGATGGCCTCGTGGTAAGAAGCTGCACTGTGATCCCAAAGGAGCAGGTTTAAATCCACAAGCTGTTCTGCAGGGTCCTCCCAGGTTTCTGCCTCTGAAAACCTGCTGGAGGGTCAGCTGTGGGTCGGTTCTGACTCGATGATACTCAATAGCAATATATGCAATCGTAGTGTGTAGTATCATTTTTAGATTGATCTACTATATTTTTACATGTATCAGCAGTTTATTCCTTTTTATGTTTGGAAATACAGTGTGAGGTTTTTTTCTCTCCCCCAATTTATTGACACAAGAATTTCTGGTTCCTGTAGCACCATTTGTTGAAAACACTTCCTGTTTCCCTTAGATTCCTTTGGTATCTTTGTCAAAAGTCAAGTCCACTGAGTTTGCGGTAAGCTTTCTGTTCCGTTCTGCTGGTTCTCAGTTCTCACTACTTTGCTTGAGTACATTAGATACAGAGTCAGTCTAAGAGTCATTCATATAGTACATTGTTGTTACTAAGTACCATAGAGTAAGAACCAGTCATTGCAAACACTTGAGCAGGTTTTCAGAGGCAGTTAATCATACAAGAGAAGATTGTCTATCTTTCTCCCACAGAGCAGCTGGTAGATTTAAACTGTGTGCTTTGGGGTTGGAAGCCCAGCTCCCTACCATGAAGCCACCTCGTAGCACCACCTCATAGCACCACTAAGCTCCCTCATATAGTATAACCTTTCCAAATTAATTCTTTTTTCAAGATTATATTTTATACTGTAGATTCTTTCCATTTACATTTAAGGAGTGGGACCTGCTCATCAGTTTCTACCACAGAGCCTCCGAGATCTGCATTAGAATTGCATTGGATCTACAGATCAATTCAGGGAGAATCTTGACCTTAACAGTGTTGAATTTCCCAGTACATGAACAGAACAGATTTCACCATTAATAGAGATGTTTCTGTGATTTGTCGCAGCAGTGTTTTATAAATTTCATTGTCACCTGGATTTTTAATGGACTTGGAGAGTGTGCCTGTAACCCTTTTTCCTTTGTTCCCTGTAGGCTCTGGATCGGTATCACCCTATGAAATGGAACGATGTTTACAACTATTTGCTACAGGTAAGACCATCTACAAGTTTTTAGTCTGAACATATTCTTATAGTTGGCACTGATCCATTCCTTTCTAATAATAAAAGCAGATAGCCACGAGGCAAAACGATGTTCTTATTTTGCTTTTATTCCTCTATCTTATCTTTTACTGGCATTAATAAAAATATGTATTTTTTTTTCATTGCATGCATATTTTAAAACAAGTCTCTAAAGTTGATAGAAGATACTGTATTACTTAATAGTGCATTGGGGTTTATTTTTAGTTTGAGGGTGTAAAATCTTTTCTATCAATTTAATTTTATTCAGTTCACTCTTTATAGCGAGTGCAAGATGGCCCTGTTGGAGCTCCTTACAGGATGTTACAGAGCCTGAATTTAGTGTTAGTGATGACAGTATTTCTATCAACTTCTCTCTTTCCATTGTTTATGATGCCAGACTCTGAGGAGAGTATTGGCTAAGCATTAATGTTAAATAATACGCTGTTGTAAAGTACGAGGAGGTTTTTTTTTTTTGGTTGCTTGTCACTGTTGGAGGAAGGAAACTTAAATAAAACATAAAAGGAAACTAGAAAGAAGCTTGTGTTGAATTAGAATTGGAGGGGCCAATATGTTCTCTTGGTTTTGGAATTGGGTGCATACATGAATTTAACATTCTCCATTAGAAGGAGTCAAGGATCCTTGGAGCAACGACAGGTTTCAGGGTTGGGATTGGGTAATTATCAAGTGGGTCTGGAATATTCAGTTATGCCAGAAAGTTCTCAGTTAATGATGGAATATATTAAGTGGCAAGGGTACCAGCTTGAAAGAATTCATACTTGCCAAATCTGAAACAAACTTGAGCATCAAAATATATAATAAGGAGACTGAATTTACTGGGAAAAGTAAGTACATGCTGATAACAGATTGATAAATGAACTAGTTGAAAACTCTTCCTTTTAATGATAGAAAAGAAAGAACGAAATTACAGAAAAATCATCATTTTGCATCTGTAAACATAGTAAGTGATTCAGTTGAGAATCATCAGTGGATCCTAAGTACTTATAGTAAAGGGTGAGATACTTACAATTGTCCTAAGCACTAAAATTGAGAAGAAAGGAAATTCCAGAACATTTTATTATGCTTATTCTAAATCTGTACCTAGATTAAGAAGCTGTTAATCAAACAAGGCAAGGGTTAAAAACCAAGAAAGGTATGCATCAGGGATGTATCCTATCTCCATGTCTATTCAGTCTGTATGCTGAGCAAATCATTCAAGAAACTGGACTATAAGAAGAAGAATGTGGCATCAGGATTGACTCATCAACAACTGCATGATTTCAGAGGACATGATCTTGCTTGCTGAAAGTGAGGAGGACTTGAGGCACTGCCGAAGTTCAAGGACTACAGCCTTCACTATGGACTACATCTTGACATCAAGAAAATAGAATTCCCCACCACTGAGCCAATGATAGATGGGGAAAAGATAGAAATTGTCAATGATTATTGTACTTGGATCCACAGCCAACACTGTTGATAGCAGCGCTCAGGAAATCAGGAGACGTATAGCTTTAGGAAAGTTATCAGTCAGTGACTTCTTCCAAGTCATGAAGAACAGTGATGTTAGTTTAATGGCCAAAGTGCACCTGATTCAAGCCATTATCTTTCCAGTCATTACCTGCAATGCATCTGAAGAATTGATGACTTTAAGTTATGGTGTTGGAGAAGAGTACTGAATATTCCATGGACTGCCAAAAGAACAAACAGGCTTGTGTTGGAGAAAATGCAGCCAGAGTGCTCTTTAGAGACGAGGATTGTGAAGCTTTGTCGCACATGCTTTAAGCATGTTGTTAAGAGGGGCTGCTCCCTGGAGGAGGGCACCATGCATGGGAAGGTGAGGAAGATTCTCAACAAGATGGATTGACACAGTGACTGCAGCAGTGGCTTTAAATGTATCAGAAATGGTAAGGAGGGTGCAGGGTAGGACAAGGCTCAGATCTGTTGTTCAGAAGGTCATTTTGAGTCATACTTGACCTCACAACACCTAACAACCTTATTAAGCACCTTCATATGCATTTCAAGGGAGAGAAAATAAATTGGCAATGGAAAGTACTGGTGAATGCTACCCTAACCAGCTGATCAGGATTACCGTTTTCCAGTGACATCATCGCTTTCCTGATATGATGCACTGAGACAGAAACAGCTTCATTTGTATAGCATGTTTGCCAAAAATGCATAGGCTGAGTCTGATTAGGCAGAGAAGACCTCCCAGTGAAGGTTCCCTCAACAAAGCGAGTGACTTCTACTCATCAACTTTATCAGTGCCGTGAAGAATAAAAGCTGAGGAACCATTTTACGTGAGAGAAGGACAAATGCTTGTGGGAATAAAACGCATTTCATTCATGGGCTGGGATTGGACCTTAGTATCAATAAATGCATAGAAGAGCGTTATGGAAACAGAAATGGACTGTATCAGTGCTATCAAGTTTTCATGCTCTTATAAAATGCACACCAATGTTTTTAGGCATAACAGAGCATGTGGTGATGGTGGTGTTACATGCTTTTGAATCGCCTGCAACTCATAGCGACCATATGTACAACAGCCCTAAACCCTGCTCTATCCTGTGCCAGTCTCACTGTCTCTGACACACCCACCCCCATTAATCCAGTCACTGAATCAATCCACCTAGTAGAGGGTCTTCCCCTCCTGTCCTGTCCTTTCACCCTCCCAAGGATGATGTCCCTCTCCAAGGACTGGTCCCTCCTTGCAACATGCCCAGAGTATGTCAGACAAAGTTTCAGAATCCTTGCCTCCAAGGAGCAGCCCAGTTTAACCCTCTCCAAGATGAAACTGCTTGTTTTCTTGGCAGTCCATGGTAGATTCAGTACTCTTCTCCAGCACCACAGCTCAAAGGCATCAATTCTCCTTCTACCCTGTCTAGTCATTGTCCAGCTCTCTGATTCATAGCAAGTGATTGCAAAGACCATGGACTGTATCAGTCGTGCCTTAGTCTCCAGAGAGACACCATTGCTCTTCAGTACCCTGGAGAGGTCCCTAACAGCAGACTTTCCCATCGCAATACGTCTTTTAATTTGCTGGCTGTTGGTGCCAGTCAAAAGAGCGTGATGTCTGAGAATTCTCAAATGGCTCAGTAATATGGAAACAGTACAAGAAATGGTGAAAATGGGAAATTAAGTCTGGGAATATTAAAAATAAAAAGTTCCAGTTTTCTTAAAATGAGGGTTTTAGACAGTTCTGACTTACTCTAAGTTGTTGTTGTTGTTGTGTACTGTAGAGTCAGACGCTATAGCTGTCCCTCCGGTGGGTTTTCAGAGGTAGTAAATCACAGGGGAGTTGACCACCCATCATTCTCCCTTGGAGCAGCTGGTGGATTCAAACTTCATACCTTATCATTGGTGGCATAGGTCTGCCTTTTTTTACTTTAGAGTAATATGGAGGGGGAGTGTGTGTGTGTGTGTGTGTGTGTGTGTGTGTGTGTGTGTGTGTAAAATATATACATCTTACTATGACACTCGGCTATTTGCTCACTTAAAAGAGTATCTGTTCAGTAGGGTTTAGTTTCTGTCTTAGTTGTCTTGTGTTACTATTACAAATATTGCAGGTGGATGACTTAAATGAAAATTTATTCTCTCACAGTGTAAAAGACTAGACATCTGGATTCAGGGTGCCTTCTCTAGGGGAAGCCTCATTCTCTCTCTGTTGCTTGGAGAGGAAAATCGTTGTTTTCTTCAGCACCTGGACAGGCCTGCCTTCTAGATCCCCTTGTCCTGTTCCTCTCCAGCACTGAGTTGTTCCTCAGAGACCTGACCTTCCATGTCTGGCAGTTATTCCTTGGTGACACTGGGGTTTCCTCCTCTTGGCTCCTTTTCCTCTCCTTTGTCTCTCTCATTGCCTTCGAACAGGTACTGTTTGATAGCTGACCCCCATTGAATTTTCCGATGCTGTGTGTCTCTGGAAAGGAGGTTGCCCATCATTCTCCCTCTGAGCCAGATTGGAACCAGATGTGCAGGGACTAGGTCACCAGAGCTCCCTTTGATCTTTAGTGAGAAAACCGGTATTCTAGGCACACCCTAGGGGAACTTCCCTTCATCTTATTAGGACTGTGATGGGATCCAGGAGTGCTTCATCTTTTTGCAACCATTTGATTATCAGTTCATAGGGGATCATTACATAGCTTCTACATTCTGTCTTACGTATAGTATTTTGAGGGGCACAATTCAGTCCATGACAATTGGGTTAAAGCTACGTACAGAAAAGAGAAATCCTAACCATTTGAAGTTCCCAAGGTTGGTTTATACATGAGTTTCATTTTCTAAGACACAGGAAATGTTAAGCTGAAATAATTAGCAATCCTAGAGAGGGTTAGACCGGGCTGCTCCTTGGAGGCAAGGATTCTGAGGCTTCGTCTGACATACTTTGGACATGTTGTAAGGAGGGGACCAGTCCTTGGAGAAGGACATCATGCTTGGGAGAGGGGAGGGACGGCGCAAGAGGGAAAGGCCCTCTATGAGGTGGATTGATTCAGTGACTGGGGTAATAGGGGTGGGCGTGTCAGAGAAAGTGCGATTGGCACAGGATAGAACAGGGTTTAGGGCAGTTGTACATAGGGTCGCTATGAGTTTCAAGTGATTCGACGACACATAACAACAGTAATACATTTAGCAAGATAATAAATTAATAAGATTGTTGCCTTAGATTAAAGATCATCAAGGAGTTTTATACTTTCCATAGTATAAACTGACCAATATTTGCAAGACCTTTTTTCTAAAATTAGCCCAAAAGACCATTTTACTCTTTTCCAAACAGCTGCCTCAAATATTTTGTGTTTGAGTTTCCACTCTGACTCCCATTTCCCCCTCATGCCTCTTCTGGAGACCGGGGTAGTGCAGGCAGTTAAAAGCTCAGCTGCTTACTAGTCGGAAGTCTGGTAGTTAGAACCCTTTAGGTGTACCTTGGAGGAAAAATCTGGCAAACTTCACCGAAAGCACCTGTCATTTCTACTCTGGAGCACATTTCCTTGAAATACCTGGGTCACCAGGAGTGAAAACTGACCTATTGGCATTTGGTTTGACTTTTTTGCTGTTTTTCTTTTATTTAATACACCTTCCCCCTTAAGCAGCCTGTGATTCTACAGGAAGAGTTCAATAGCGGGCTAATGATCCAAATTTGAAATATTGCAGAATTCTGTCTGACCTAATCTTTGTATTTTTTTTTTTTCAGTCTGTAGGGAGTAGGTGCTGTCATCCAAAGGCAGCACGTCTCTGACCGTGTAAGCCCATCAGTGACTCCAATGGGAGAGAGATAGACAGCCTTCTCCCATGCGATTCATAGCCTCAGACTCAGCGGAGGCTGATATGTGACTTGATACAGACTTAACAGCAGTGAATTTGAGTTTTGATTTTCACCTGATTTAAACTTATGTGGTCTTCTCTTTATCAGTCCCACAATGTTATGTAAAGAGAGAATGGCCTTTAGTTACTATAGTGTTGGTTATTGGTACTGACGTAATCTTTGGCCAGTGTGTACTCTGACCTTCTTCTACAGCAAATTTCAGTCGGAATCTAAGTAAACTGCTTTAGAACAGAGATGGTGAGGTGTTTACTTGTTAAGCACCTTCTGTGATCTGACTTAAAGCTCGAGAATCTTGTATCAGAGACGAGAGGCGTGACTTGTGCCTTCATGGAACTGATGGTTTATGCACCTTTAATTAAATGTGTCGTATCTAATTGGTTCAGGGCATTCATATCATGAATAGTCTAATGATTTCTGTAAATTATTCTGACTTTATCCAAATGTTCTTTGCAGTGCTTACAGATCACAATTATTTGGAGAAAACTCCGCTGTGTGCCATCTTGAAACAGAAAGCTCCTCGAGTGTACCGCATCCAGGCGAAACTGAGGTCATACAAGCCCAGGAGACTCTTCCAGTCAGTTAAACTTTACTGCCCTGAATGTCATACACTGTACGTATCTTCATTTCAGATCCAAAGTGTCTCTGTGTTGTGTGCCTTCAAAGCGATTCTCACTCACTGCCACCCTGTTTGACAGAGCAGAACCGCCACATAGGATTTCTCAGGCTCGGAGAATTAGGGAAACACAGCACTGTGTATTTTCTTTTGTGACACCGTTCAAACCACCAGCCTTTACTTAGCAGCTGAGGGCTTAATGATTATGTCACAAGGCTCCTTAATGCATTTGCCTGTGCAAATAGTGTATCGTGTAACTCAGTCCGAGCAGTGAGTAAATTGGCATGTGTTACTATTTGACAAGATAGAAGAAAAAAATTTAAGACAAAAATACATTCTTCTGAAATAAATCTTTTTTATTTTTCTTAGAAATAATATCAAGTAGGCATTAGCTTCACATCTGAAATTTCACTTAGTGACTCAGATGCAGGCAAATGAAAAATAAGTTACGAGACTGTTAGGGAAGATTGTTTTGTTTGTCACAAAATTTCTTAAAAGCAGTAGCCCTTTAATAACTAAAATCCACAGGTGAAATTCTTAGTTGGATTTATAAGTGATACCAGAAAGTTTTATTGGAATTATTTATGTTTCTTTTCATGACTACCATTTAAGAGCTCAGTTCTGACGCTTAACAACCCTCCACTAGGTTTCAGAGGCTATAATTAGAAATCCTCCCGAGAGGAGAAGGCTCATCTTTCCCTCGCAGAGTCACCTCGCAGAGCGGATTCAAACTGCCCTAGATGTGTAGCCTTTGGTTGGCATCACAGCTGTGCACCAAAGCACAGACCACCATACAGTCAATTTAAGTTCACTTTTCTTTGTCACTGAGAATTTTTCTGTGCTGAGAGAGTTCCCTGATATTCAAGTAAGTGTATAGAATATCAGGGTAATACATCTTTAGCTCAAGACATATTCTGACTAGTGCCGAGAAGCAGCACTGCAATCCCAAAGGCACACAGTTCGAGGCCAACAGCTGCTCCATGGGAGAAAGATGGGCAATCTCCTCCCATGCAATTAACTGCCTCTGAAAACCCACTGGAGGGTCAGCTATGGGTCAGTTCTGACTCAGCAGTACACTACAACAACATTTATATCTTTTTCTTGAATATGCTTCTTTCTACACCTATAAAATGATGTTTTAGAAAATGTTGGTAGTGGATGTGCATTATCCATAACTACAATTCCACTGAATATATAGTGTGTAAATATATGTATCGCTGTATATTTTATAAGTACATATTTGTGTTTTTACATTAATTTCTCTCCAAACTATAAGTATAATACTGTTTGAAAGCTTTTAAATAGAGCTCTTTAAATAAAATACAGAAGACTTTCTATTTTAGCTTGCTTGACATGGTAGTTTGGATTTAAACATACTCTTTTAAAGTGTTACCAAATTTTGGTTAATTGAATCGTCTAGTGAAGTATAGCTTAACCCTCCTTGTGATTTTTCCCCCCTTAAATTGTGACCTTATTTTAGAGTTTAAGAGATGTTTAAGATTCTGTTGTTGTGATATTACTCTGACAAGGATATAGACCTTTTGATTCCAGATCCTGCTGTATGTAGAGAACATCCTTGCTTGATCATACTTTTTTAACAGAATTTTATCATCTCTGGTGGCTTAGTGGTAACAAGTTGTTCCGCCAACCCCAAAGTTTGGGGTTCGAATCCACCAGCTACTGTCCAGAAGAAAGATAGACAGTTGCCTCTTAAAATCCACTGAAGAGTCAGTTCTGAGTTGGTTCCTCCTTGACAGAAATTAACAAGAACAACAGTATAATAATGTTAAAGGGAGCTGGAATAAATGTTAGCTTGTGCTCTAAGTGCTCCATGAAAGTGACATTACTTGGATGTTTTATGGATTGTAACAGGAATTAAAGTGCTGATGGTGATTTACCACATATGACCAAGGATAAGGGCAGATGGCCTTGATGTGAAGTTGTGTCTGAAATCGTTCTTTTTATACTCTGCTTTTAAATAATACTTCCTAGAATACACTATTTTTTAAAAGATTATACAAATTTGCTGATTTCTTCAACTTGTTGCTGCTAGAAATGATTATAACTAACTTTAATATCATAAAATGATAGAGTGGTAATTCTGGTATGGTTCTACTTATTCATGAAATATTATCAAGTATCTATATATTGAAAAAGTAATTTAATCTGTAAATTGAACTTCCTCCATAATTTAAAAAAAAATATTTGTCGCTTATAAGTAACTGGGTAATTTGTTAGTTCAGAATCCTCATGCTTACCAAAGTTGCTTTTTATTATTTCATTGTCACCAATCTTAGACAAGAAGTTCCACAGGACAGCGATTTAGAAACAATTTTGCAAGAAAGTGCAACTAAAACCCCAGATAGCAAACTGCAAAATACGTCACTGTATGATTCCAACACGTGGACCGTTAAAGATGACCCAGGAGAGCGAAAAGTAGCCATTCATTTTGTGAAAAATAACAACACTCTCCCATTTTCACATAAATATCTAATATTGACAGAAGGTAAGGGTTCCCCCCCTTAGTAGAATAATTTTTTCTTGTATTATATAATACTGTTTGAATGTTTTTAGCTATTGAAAAATAGATTTTACCAATGGCCTAGTTTATTACAAAATAAAAATACTGTTCATTTAAATTAGAATCGGGCACTTGTAAGTGTCCATGTTGGTGTAACCTTGTCATAGCCGAGCTGGTTATCACTGAGTAATCACAATGAAGTTCTTTGCTTAGTGTGAGCCTTTAACTTGGCCTCTGGGTGTCGCTGTTGTTTCATCCAAATAGGATGAAGGCCATTCAGTGCTCTCCACATCAGGGAAAGGATTGTGGAAACAAAGACAACGTGACACGTTTTATCAGAATAAAATGTCAATGATGTTTATTTATACATTTACCTTCTGTTTTTCTGTGGTTTTCCAATTCTTAGCCAAATTATAAAGTTTCATTATTTTCCTTCAGACTCCTTTTCCCCCCTTCATAACTATACATAACAAACTAAAAGTTTCTTGCTTGTGTTATTGAAATGCTTGACCTCAGTCTATAAATAGACCAAAATAATCTTATTATAATACACTGTTAAACCTTTCTTACTGCTGGGATTTTTCCATGTATAAAATTAATTTTTAAATTTTAAAAAATGTGTATGAAAAGTAGTCTCTGGTGGCATAATCCATAGCAGTTTGTGCCACAAACTCAAAGGCTGCAATTCGAAACCACCAGCAGCTCCGCTGGAGAAAAATAGGCAACCTCGGAACCCAGTGGAGTAATGCTCTTAGTCAGAAGCAGTTCAGTGGCAATGCGTTTGAGTTGTTTGTCTTGTTGATAGATAGATAGATAGATAGATAGATAGATAGATAGATAGATAGATAGATAGATAGATAGATAGATAGAAACATTGGTATCATTTTCTTGAACTTGGCTCTTTTTTTTTAAATTTATATACTCATAGTAACCAGAAATAGCTTTGACTTCTGTGTATTAATTCATTTAGTCATGATAGTAATCCTATATAGTTGGTTATATGCTGTATTTTAATAGATGAAAAAGCTGAAGCCCAGAGGTCAAACCCCATGTCCTTACAGGTAGTGTGTGGTAGGGTTCTTCCCGACTCCTGTTGTAAGTAATTCTCTGTTGGGCTTGGTTACCTGTCTCATGGCTGAAGTATCCTTTTGGTCATAAAGCAGTAACTAAATGTTGTCCAGTTACTTTCAGAGTAAAGCAGATCCCATGTGCAGGAGATGTAGCATCATGAGATTACCTGTTATTCTTCCCTTGTTAGGATATCATTGTTATTGTTGTTATTATGTGCCATCAAGTCAATACATTAGCTCTGAAGCCTGCCCTATCCTGAGCTAGTCTTTACTAACTCCAGCGCACCTACCCCCATTACCACAGGTACTGTGTCAGTCCATCTCATCAACAACTTGCATTAAGCAGATGACACAACCTTTCTTGCTAAAACTAAGGAGGACCGGAAGCATTTGCTGCTGAAGGTCAAGGACTGTAGGCTTCAATATGGATTGAACCTCTATACCAAGAAGTCAAAGATCCTAACCTCTGGGCTGATTGGTAACACCTCGATAGATGGGGAAGAGATTTCAGCTTGCTCAGCTCCATGGTCAGTACTCTTGGCATCAGCAGACGGGAAATTAAGAGACAAATTTCACTGGGGACGGGTACTGTGATACCAGTCTAGAGACTAAGATTTGCCTGATCCGCCATGATCGCCTCAATTACCTGCGTCAACGAGCCGGACAGTGACTAAAGATGATAGAAGAATTGATGCCCTTTGGTTATGGTGCTGGGGAAGAGTATTGAATTTACCATGGACTGCCAGGAGAACACATTTGTTTTGGAGAGGGTGAAACCAAGTTTCTCCTTGGAGGCAAGGATTTTGAGGCTCTGTTTCACATACTTTGAGCATGGTGCCAGGAGGGGCCAGTTCTTTGAGAAGGACATCATGCTTGGAAGGGTGGAGGAATAGTGCTGGAGAGGATGACCCCAGATGAGATGGATTGTCACAGTATATCATTAGCGTTTTTAAAAACTGGGAAGTTGTATACATAAAATGCGGTATCTAAATCCTTTGGCAGTATGTATCTTGCTAAACATGTAAATAGAAGAGAAAAATGTAAAGGCTGTGTTGTGTTCTGTAGAAAGATACTGTCACATCTGCTTCAGGGAGTTCTGAATGGTAAGAACTGGGCTGCAGTTCTAAAGGCACACGGTTCAAATGGACCAGCTGCTGCTCCGTGGGAAAAGTATGGGCAGTCTCCTCCCATGCAGTTTACTGCCTCTGAAAACCTGTTAGAGATTCGGCTATAAGTTGATTCCCACACATACCTGACCCTCCACTAAGGAAGGATCAGCACCACCGTCACCACTTAAGGGCTTTACTGTTATTTTGCCAATTGGAGAATTCCATACTAAAACCTAACTGACCTTGAGGAACCAAAAGGAACTTGAATAAAGATGCACTCTTCTAATCTCCAAACTGTCCTTAAGTACGACTTCACAAACTTGAGTCTCATCTACTATTTCTCAGTTCTCATGCTACCTTCCAAACATATCAAACTGGTGACTGGTCCCTAAGCCAAGGAGGCTTCTCTGTGCTTGCTGAAATGTTCCTCCCCACGATCTCTGCAAAATAAGCACAATTGACCTTTAGTAGCAATTTATATCAAATATGTAGTAAGTTTTAGTGTAACATTATGGTTTCAAGTCAGAACCAGTTTATAGCTGATACCTGTCAGCTTTTCAGAGGTTGTGAATCACACAGTAGGAGGTGACTCACCTTTCTCCCAAGAAGCAGCTGGTGGACTCGAATTCTCCTTGCCACTGCAACTCCCCCAATGATTACAAGTTGTAATCACTTTACTGGAGGTGGGGAGGGGGTGTTATAGCCTAGTGCTGAGAAGCTGTGCTGCAGTCCCAAAGGCTTGCAGTTCAAATCCACATGCTGCTCTGTGGGAGAGGGGTGGATAATCTTCCATATGATTATTTGCCACTGAAAAGCTGCCAAAGGGTCAGCAATGAGTCAGTTCTGATTTGACAGCGCACAACAATCAGTTTACTGTTTCATAGAACAAGTTTTAGTAGTTTTTATCACAATGTGTTTTTGTTAATACTCTGTATGTATTTCCATTAGAGAAAGTTTTCCATTGTCTTACATGATTATTGTCTTTATTTTTTTTAGTTATTTTTATCTTATATTGGTTTGCATACAAAATTCTTATACATTGTGTTTCATTTATATATATATATTTTGTTTTACACATTCTTCTAGTCACATTGTTTCATATTATCATTCTCACACATTGTTTATAAAATTAAAAATCATTAATAAAAAATGCAAAAAAAATAAAATTCATCGCCATTGATTCATGCCTACCATTCCTCCACCTTTTCAGGTCCCCACTGGATTTTTCCTAATTCCTTCAAGCCCTCATACTGCCCATGTGACTCTGTGACCTCAAGATTTCCCCACCTCTCCCCGCCTTTAGCCTCCCTTCTCTAACCCCCTCCCCTTTTGGACGTTTGTATGCATCTTTCTCTAGAAATACTTCTGTTATTACAATTCGGGTCTTATTCAGTATTTATCCTTATGAGACTTTTTATAGTTTCTCTATTAGTCTGCGAACTCCCTGAAGACAGAGTGTGTGTTTACTGAGTCTAGATACTTTCCTCAGTACCTAGCATGATCTAGTTGATATGTAACAGACTCCCAGTAAGTAGTCCTGATAAATGAGTACATCCAGAATAACAGCACTTTACCTTCTAATCCTGTCAGTGGAAGTCAAAGGAAAGTGTATTTAGAAGCCTTTTGGAATTTAAAGGCATTACATACCAATGTAAACCATGTTTATTTTCTAATATATTTTAATGCTGTACCCCAGGCCAGAGAGACTCACTGATTGGAATGTTTTAGTCCATTTGTAATTAATGTAATTAATGATAAGGCAGAATTGACATCAGCTATTTTGCTAGTTAACTTCTTTTCTTTATGTAATACCTTTTTTTTGTTTTGTTCTTTCTTTATACCCTTCTCTATACTAAATGAATATCTTGTTTCCTAGTGTAACAATTTAATTCCCTTTTTATTTCTTTGCTCTTCTTTTGTTTTCCTAATTACGTCCTTAGGATTAATTGGCATCTTAATATACCATCTTGTTCAGGGTAATACCCTTTTCATTTCAGTCTTTGGTAATAACTTTGCTCCAGTGTTCCTCGCCTCCTCCCTCTTGTGTGCTGTTTTCGTACACATTGTGAACACGGTAAGTCCATCAACTTGGTTTGCAGTTACTGCGACTTACTTGACATAGGAAATCAGAACAGTGAGAATGCAATCTTGCTTTAACTCTCAACTTCATGCCTTTTTTTATCTGAAGCAAAATGTTTCTGGCACCAAAAGAATGTATATGTAAATGTAGGAAGATTATAAAATGTCACATGCCTTGTTTTATTCTCAGCATTTTTGTACTGTGGTGTATTTAATGCGTGTGCATGATTCTAAGTTTACAAATTCTTTTTCGTGAAAATGTATTGATTCTTTCAATGTATGTCTTCCTGGATTTTCTCTGTCAATTCCTTTGAGCTTTTACTATGACTGCTGTGTTACTTAGGGAGCTCTTATAACGTATTCTGTAGGGTGTTGCACTTAACACATCGGTGGCTCCCCACTGGAGGTCCATCTCCATCAGCTGCTCCATGGGAGAAAGGTGGGCAGTCTCTTCCCATGCAGTTTACTGCCACCAAGGGCTACTGGAGAGTCAGCCATGAGTGGGTTCTAACTCACCAGCAATGAGATTTCTTTTTTTAACTTAGTGTTTTGTTTTGACAGGAGCTATACTCCGGGAAATCTACAGCCTCTCAGACACATTTCATAGTATAATCCTTGTGAGATCCGGCAGTGAAGACCTGGAACTCCTTGACCTCTCGGCACCATTCCTTATACAAAGGGAAATACGCCACTATGGGTATGTTGTAGTCTAGGAGTGTATGGAGCTAAAAAGCTCTTTAAGACTCATTTTCACTTAGATTATCTCACTAGTTCATATATAGTCAAAAGGTTCTTCTTGATTACCAACTTAAATGATTCTTTTAAATTAGCATTTGTATTGAGTGAGTGCATACTAGTGGCTAGGTGTCATGGCTACCAACTTTTCTTTAGTTAGAGAATAATATGCGGACTTTAGTTTTTAATGAGATTATAGCTGTTAATCATAGAGAAGAGTTGAGCACTCTATATTTAATTAAGTGGAATTTTTGACGCACTTGATTACAAATTTGATATGACTGAGAAATAGAAGGTAATGGTTTTTTGCTTTGGAAGAAGAAGGTGAAAATAAAATTTAAACCTTGGAAATTTATTTTTAAATTTCTATATTTTTGTTAAATTTCTGATCATCATTTCATAAACCTGATGATACAGAGTCAAACAAAAAAAAATAAATTATTCTTAAAGTATGTTTTCTATAAGCAAAGTCAAATATTTACCCGATATTCTATGCTATCCTCGTGTATTTTATTTACCTATGTTACATAAGATAGCTGTCATGTAGGCAACTGAAACTGCTAACCTTTGACTGTGTGTTTACTAGAAAAGATTCGCCAGTTATTCTTGTTACGCTATTATAGCAAAAAAGGAAAAATTTTCCTTTTGTTTTATTGACACTTTGATCAATATTGCTCATAGACAATAAATGAAAGTCCTTAGAGAGTAATGCCTTCAAATTTTTCTTATCACTGATTAAGGACATTTAAAAGCCAGATTGATTAAGTAGCAAAAACCTGGCACTCAGTCCCCTTATTATGAACATGTTGTTGTTGTTGTTGTTGTTGTTGTATACCATCAAGTCAGAACTGGCCCGTCGCTGGCCCTCCAGCTGATCTTCAGAGGCTGTCAGTTCCACAGGAGGAGGTTGCCCCTTCTCTTGAGAAGCAGCTTCTGGACTTGAACTTGGCAGTGGGACACATACAATTTTTCCTCACTTCTGTTTAGAAAGCTTAGGGTTTGGGTTTTTTTAACATAATTATTTATTTAAACAAATGCAATGTGGAAGGTTTGGCACTCCTTTATTTCGTAATTTTTTTAAACTGTACATCAGCAAGAAGTTATAATTAATTATAAAAATTATTTTTATGTATTTGGGAGGTTTTTTTCTTTTATTATTTGCAGGTGTAAACAGTGTTCCCGTTTGAAACCAATACAAAATCTGAGTTCCCTACTAGATAAAACATCGTGGATCCCATCCTCTGTGGCCGAAGGTTAGAAAAGTTTCTATATCCTGCAGTTTTAACTGTATTTGTCTTCTCACTGGTTTACATTTCTCTGTTTGTGAGTATAGTAAAGCCACAGCAAAGGCTAAGCTAAAGTTCCATTTACTTTAGTTCAGACCATTCACAATGACTACATAAACCAACACCAAAACAAAACCAGCTGCCAGTTCGTCAATTCAGACTCATGATGACCTCCTCTTAGGTTTCTAAGACTGTTAATCTTACTGGAAACAAACTGCCTTATCTGCTCCCGTCAAGCAGCAGGTTGTTTTGAACCCCCAGCCTTTCAGTTAACAGGTAAATGCAGAAGGTACTTTGCCCCCAGGATTCCTTGATGGTGATAGAAGGATAGACTAAATGTTGAAAATACTGCAATTTTAGGCATCTCCCAGTATTTTTAATCATAACTCATTTTTAGTAATTTGTTTCATCATTGATTGTAAGTAATTTCTTTACAATCCTTCCAGTTCAACTCTTAGTCACTGCTGGTGGGAATGTAAAATGGTACAACCACAATGGAAGGTAGTCTTACACTTTCTTAGAAAGTTGAAAATAGAAATACCATTTGACCCAGCAATTTCACTGCTAGGACTATAACCTAAAAAACCCAGACCCACAGCTTAAACAGATGTGTGCACATCCATGTTTATTGCTGCATTATTTACGATGGCAAAGAGATGGAAGCAACCCAAGTGCCCATCAATAAACAAATGGATAAAAAACCCTATGGTACATCCACACAATGGAATACTATGCAGCACTGAAAAACAGTGAAATAGTAAAACATTATACAACATGGAGAAGTCTTGAGGACAGTATGCTAAATGAAATATCACAGTCACAAAAGGATAAATACTGCATAGCACCACTGTTCTAAAATGGGGCAGACCTGAGGGAGTTGGAGGGAGAATGGGGAAGGAGTGGCTAGATAATGAATACTGCATTGGAACAGATGAGGGGAAGAACTGTTTGGAAGGAATATATTTGGAACGATTATTCATCATATATATGAGAACAGTCTGAAACAAGGGGCTTATTGAAGGGTGGCCTAGAGAGAGGAGGAGGAAAAGGAGGGAGAAAATGTGCAATAATGAATAAATTTAAAAAGAATTATTATAAAATGGCATACTACATTAGACACATCTGCTGCCAGAGATCTTTTAAAGTGCTAAAGAGCACTTTAGAGACGAAGGTGCACCTGAGACAAGTCTTGGTATTTTTAGTTGTTTCACACACATGTGAAAGTGGGGCAACTTAAAAAAACTAAAGAAGAAGAAAAAAAAAATCCCTCCAGTTCATAATATCTTAATATCATAATAGTGTTTAAGTCTTCAAACAATAAAAATCTTTTTCTGTCACATCCTTATCTGTGGTTATCCAACCTTTCCTGGAAACTTCTGGTCACAACTGTTGCTGTTTTCTGTCAAGTCGATTTCAACTCATAGTGACCCCATGTGGCAAAGTAAAACTGTCCCACTGAGTCTCCTGGGCTGCAGCTTCTATGGGTGCATATTTGCCAGGTTGCTGGTGAGTTTGAACCACAGACCTTTCCTTTAATGGTGGGACTCTTAACCATTATACCACTGAGGCTCCTTTCCAGTGCCAGGTACTCAGTCAACGATGGGGCCGCGTGTTCCTTTCATAGTGCAGCAGTTCTTCAGAAGAAGCAAAATCTGTCTCCTTAGAACATCACCGCGGGCCACGTTCCGTCTATTAAAACTGCTCACAGTGCATCAGTTATGTATTCTGTAAGGTAAACACACTGCACATTGGAAGATTTCCTCTCAAACCTTTGAGTTTTCCCTGCAGCAAACTGCCCCCACTGGCTTCCATTGGCCCTTTCCCACCTCTTTAGTGGTTTGTTGCATCTCCTCAGTAAACATCCTGCTTTCCCAGTGCTTTCCACAGAGTTGGCAATGGCTCCAGGTAGAATTTGGCCAATTCAAAAGACAGTGAAAAACCTTTATTTACCTAACACTAGACACTCTGCTTCTCTACCCTGAGATTTCATTGTGTAGCTGTTTGTTTATATAGAGTTTTATGGTTGTTGTTTTAATTCAGTCTAGCTCTATGATAACTGCTGTCATATATCCTGTTTGACATGGTGACATTCCAGGTTCCCTTCACATACACATCCCGGCCTTTTCTTAAAGCAGTTGTGAGGCTTCTCTGGTCCCCTCAGGGTAGGTTTATGTTTGTCTTTTCTTTAAATTTAACCTATTGATAAAATATGTTCATTCTAAAAACCAGTTTGTAGTAAAATTTCTGTCATTTCATATATGCCTCGTTTATTATTCAGGGAGCTCTGGTGGTCTAGTGGCAAGAAGCTGTGCTGCAATCTTTAAGGCACACAGTTCGAATCCACCAGCTGCCCCATGGGAGAAGAATGGGCAGTCTCCACTCGTGCAGATTAACTGCCTCTGAAAACCCGCTGGAGGGTCAACTGTGAGTCAGTTGTGACTCAACAGTACACAACAATAACAACAATAGTTCATTATTCTTCCTTGAATTCCATATTGTTTTATATTGTTGAGTGTTTTCCATTATAAAAACCAAAAATACTCTTCTTCATCTGTGACTTCTGTATATGACTCATGATCTCTTTCACTTCTTCCTTCTTCCTAATGATACAAAATTATGAGACCTCAGAGTTTGACATTTTTGTCCATTCAAACCAGAATGATACCTCTTAAATCATATGTAATCTCTTACGCTTATAATGCAGAAAGGATGGTAAACTCACAGCCATCAGGGTGGTTCCAACTCAGAGCAGCTCTCTACTGGGATTACCAAGCTGTAAATCTTTACAAGAGGAGATTCCATTTTATCCTGTGGAGCATAGATGTTATAAAATAATGAATGCTGAATTACATGGTCTTTTTTAAAAAAAAAAAGTCTGATAATTTAAATTTTTTCTTTTATAAGATTAATAGGCAAGGAATTGCATTTCATGCAATGAAATGGAAGTTTTTATGTGGTAGTTTCATCTCATTTTAAAGTTACATTGTAATAATTGAAAAAAGATGCATTTGCTTATATTCTAATGCATTGTAACTATAAAGGTACAATTTAATGTTCCAGAATGAATCAGCAAAATGGACTTAATGTAGTGGTGTGTGTATAAATTTTTCTTTGCCTCTTAAATTATTCTATCAGTCAAAATTATTTGCTGAATATAGTCATGAGACAGTTTTTATGTTACCTTGACTATAAGAAATACAGAATTGTATGGTTTGATCTTCTTTTCCTTGTTTAGTTCTAGGTGTTGTACCCCTCCAATATGTGTTTGTTATGACCTTTACACTTGATGATGGAACAGGAGTTCTGGAAGCTTATCTTAAGGATTCTGTGAGTAACAAGAGAAAGTAAAGATACTAAGCAAAAATAATATTTGTTTTCATTTTCATAACTTTATTCATACCTGTTTTATTCTTAAAAGGATTTCAGGTAGCTTAAAAGAATATATGAAAATTGATGGCATAAATCTTATTTTTCTAGTTATCTTTTGATTTGACATTTTAAATCTTAAAATTGGATAATAAAAACTTAAATAATAGCTAGCTAATTGATGAGAATCGTTCTCCATGCCATGCAGAAATTCTGCTCCAGGAACCAGAAGGCAGAGTGTCGCCAGTAACATCTAAATATTTTCTCTAGTCAGCATTTCAGTGTTCTTTTTTCAAGTGAATTTCATGCCATTCCCTCTGCGTTTCACACTTGAAGAAACAAAGTTACCTCAACAGTCAAGTTAATGTCAGCCTGCAAGACTTCTTTACTGCTGTCTGGTCATCAAGGGGAAGCGGGGCCTCCGGTAAAGCCAGGAGAACTCCAGAAGCAGTTCACAGTGTCTTTTTTTCTGTGAAACTATCGACAACACTTTTAATAGACAGGGAGTACTGCCCACAAGGGACGTCATCAAGCCTTGGTGTCCAGTGCTTTGCTCAGATAGGGTTGAGTTGCCCACAAACCTGATCTGTCCTCACGCCTTTTCCCAGAAGCTGATTCTGTGTTCCCCACGGCCCCAGGCAAGCCAGATCCTATCAGGCTGGATGGTCTAAGGGTTCAGACAGAAAAAGTGCTACACCAGTTTGGACCATTGTGAGATTTTCAGGGGGGCTGAGAATTTTTCTTCCCCCTCTCTAATTCGTGTATCCATATCCGTTTATTACATAAATATTTAATGAGCACCTGCTGTGTGACAGGTACTGCTGTGTATGATAGAAACTTCAGCCGTGAGCAGGGCAAGCAAAATCCCTTCCCTCTTGAAGCTCATAACCTGTCGGGGAAGATAAAAAATGAAATAAGTGCATGCCATGCGTTATACTCACGTTTTTTCCCCTACGTATGAAAGAAGTAGTCAGGCTGGTTTTAAATTCTTATTTTTATCATGAAGTCAGAGTTAGTTTGATTGTGAAATGCCTCAAAACTGTTTGTTGATTACATTGCTGCAAATGACAGCAAAATGTGTTTCTTTTTTTTTTTTTTTTTTGCAAAATGTGTTTCTAAGCACGGTCGTCAATATTAAAGTGTGCGGCAACGTGTTTAAAGTAATAAATCAGATTTCAAAGCTTATATCGACATGTGAATATATAAATCTTAGTTTTGATAATAGCCAAATAGTCTAGATTATTTTAGGTAATTAGGAAACACTGAATTTTTTATTAATGAAAATTTTAGATAAAATTTCATTTTTAACTCTCTTGTTTACTTTCTGACAGGACCATTTTTTCCAAATACCAGCATCAGAAATCCTAACCAGTGATGACCTTCAGGATAAAATGGAAGCGATCATGGATTTGCTTTGTCCTCCAGGAAGAAAAATCGGTAGGCAATAATTTAATCCTACACACTTTAAAAAAAAATAATAATAATAGCATATAACTCATCTGTGAATCTATAAAAATGTGAATATTTTGATAACAGACTCTAATCACTAAGTAGAGAGTAATTACTCTATGATAATTTTTAAGTATTACAAAGTATCATAAAGGCAAGCAGTTTTTATCACAAGAATATTTAACATTAAAGTCAACAAGACCTCAGGGAGGGCCTTTGTATTTAAAGATGGTGGCTATTATATTTTGGAGGAACATTCTTCTAAGTGGTACAGCTCTTTTCTGTTTGTTTACTGTACTGAGGGAGCCTGGGGCTGCTGATATGCTGCACCTGTACCATTGGGGTGTCAAATGTCATAACGGTTACCCATGGTGGACAGTGTTTGGTGGAGCTCTCTGTTTAAGACAGGCTTGGAAGTAGGAGTGGCATCTACCTCCTAAACAACATGCCTCTGGAAACTCTATGAACCTTGAGAACAATAGTTACAGAAAGGCTTTAGGTCTTTTGTGCATAGGGTTGCTATGAGTCATGCTTGACTTGATGGCAGTCAGCAACAACATTCTGTTTAAAAAACATTTTTTTTAAATTATACCAATATTGACAATACTTGGCAAGAAACATTTTTTATAACCTCCAGGTAGCCACTTTCTAATTAACTGATGAATTTTCTTTTGATATTAAATAGTTTCAAATTGTACAAGTTTTATACAATTATTTTTATCAACTTATCGTTTTCTGTACGATGTAAGCATTTGATTCATCCACCATTTAAGCCCATTCCTCGCTTGTCAACATAGTTGAGTTCCAAAGACTAGGTTGTTATGTGAAAACCAGACATTATGAGAGAGTCAGAATTGTACCCTCTCTCCACTGCCATCCTAGCATATCTCGGGATGCACACGGCAGAACAGGTCCCCTTTTCACAGCATGATCTCACCGCTAAGGAGCCCACTGGGCTAGGAAATGGTATTGTTGGTAGGCTGAGTGTTCCACCACCTTCGGGGAAACAGAGCTCTGTTATCACCTGACTGAACTCTCTAGCCCCACTGCTTCCAGTCTCCTCTCCACCAGCCTTTCAGATGAGCCTGTGGTCAAGTGAGGTTTGGCTCCCTGGCTCTAGCAAGACTACAAAAATGGTGGAGAAGCATCTTTGAAAGAAGAGACTTTTATGACCTGACTGCTCTGTCTCTAAAACATCCCCTCCCCTCTGCCCTTGGCTCTCCACCCCGGTCACCCCCACCCTTGTTAATGTACAAAAGACTTGGATATGGTTTTTTCATCATCATAAATGGAAAATGCTGATAATGACATAGTAAGTGAGGAATGGGTGTATTTTCAGGTCACGTTACAACTACTGCCACAGATTGGCTTCTTGGCCATTATTTCTATGTGTTAAAACTTCCAGGCTTAAATCATATTAAGACAATTTGATTCTTCTAACAGTTTTTCTTCTGTAAACGATCTGATTGATTAAACTTTTATAGACTATTTTCATTCAGATTTTGTTTTCCTTGGTCAATTTTTGCATGTTCCAGCATTTCCAGAAAGGTAGGCATTTTTGTTTATCTGTAACAGAGCTTAGCTTTGACACCTTTCTGTGTTGTCAGTTTTCATTTGTGTTGGCCAGTTTTTCTGAGAGCAAAAAATCTTAGTGAGTGGATTTTTAAAAAATAGCTTCCTACTGCTGAACATTTAGATCATAAATTTTTTACTATTCACAAAGATTTTTATATATTTCATTCACTTTTAATTACTCTCTTGAGTTTTTAATAGATTTCTGAAAATAAAATGCCATATGGGAAAGTATGAGACTGGTAAGCTTTTGATGCGTACCATCAAATTGCTTTTCAAGAATGTTTCACCTCCGTATGTAGATTTATATGGTCCTCTTAGTCATGTGAGAGTGCTTGTCTCGCTTTACGCTCCCCAGTACTGATCACTCAGTATTGAATATCTCTAACACCAGAACATGAGAAATCATAAGCAACTTCTTTAGATATTACTAATATGTTTACTGTACGATCATAATCAAAGCTTAGAAATGTCATCCGTTGCTTCCACCATTGTCTGGATTCAATTCCTGGTGCTGCTAGAAGCTTCATTCGTCCAAACAGGTGTTGATCTGAAATTCCTTGTTGAGTTTCTTTCAAGAAAAGGCCCACCCCCACTGCCATCAAGTTATTTCTGAAGCAAGGATAGTGCTGTCCCATAGGGTTCTCAAGACCTTAAACCTGTAGATTTAAAGTCATCTTTCTCTAATGGAAAGAGACCACTCACAGGTTTAAACCACCAATCTTTTGATTAACAGCTGGATTTTTTAATCACTCTGCCACCGTAGCACCTAAGAAAATATCTAGTGTGATTGATAAGCAATTTAGAAAGGAATAACAGTTGAGGATAAGTTAACTTAATACTTTTGCTGTCAAACATTTTGAAAACTCCAAATCAATCACTTTATCTGTTAAAGGAGAAATAATTACAGTTAATGCAAATTAATAGTATAAATCCAGTGTGTATTGTTAGTGTATTGTTAATAGTATAAATCCAGATGAGTATTGTTAGTGTTGAGTACCATCAAGCAGAAACTGAGGCATAGCTGACCCTCCGGCCGGTTTGCAGAGGAGATGGCCCATCCTTCCCCACAGCGCAGCTGGTGGATTCAGACCACATACCTTTGGGTTTGCAGCACAGCGTCGTCCCATTTGCTAAGTGTATTTTACTTTTCAAACTAAATTGAAAAATGTGTTTTCAGCATAGCTGTATGCTTATTTCAGAGGTCTGTGTTTATGTGTTTAGTTTTAGTGGTTACATACATATTTTTTTTCCTTTGTTTTGCAGACATATATCCATGGCTGGAATGCATCATCAAGTCATATAATGTCACGAATGGAACAGAACAGAAAATATGCTATCAGATTTTTGACACAATGGTTGCAGATGATCTTATGTAATTCAACTTAGCATATGTAAAATAATGTAATTTTTAAAAACATTATTCTTTTCTGTGAGGTTGTTATAAATAAATCTCGTGACATTTAGGTCTTGGCTCTTATTTTTTTAATACAGTCCATATTCCCACTTGAAGGTTTCTAGACAAATGGAGACGGTGTTGTCATCCCCGTGCTTTCCTGTGAAAAAGTACAAACCAGCCCTGCATCTCCAGCGACCCAGTGTGGGGGCTCTAGGGTGGAAAAGAGAGAGGCCTCTGCTTTCAGTCACTCTTTGTGTTCTTTCCGGAGAAGCTGTTTGTTCCCTCAAAATCATTTTTCCAATTGGAATTTCATTCTCTCCCTCTCTCCCCCTCTCTCCCTTTCTCTTTGTCTCTCACTCAGCAGCGCTGATGGTTTTACCAAGGGCACAGGCACAGGATTAGAAAATGTCCTTCCTTTAAACCTCTTAGCTTTTATGGAATGCAAGGTAAATAGCTGATAGTGGCTATGTGTTTCTTTTTTGTTTTTGCAGAGAGTGATCTGTTTAAACAAGAACTGATTATAGAAGTGTTCCTTCAAGGGAGCTACAGTGAACTTGAGCAAGTGATTGAATTTAAACAGGTGACAGAGCTGTTTGCTTAGGTGACCATTTTAGAATAATTATATCCTGTGTTCTCGATGCATTAGAATTTAGTGACTCTGTTTCATCTCTGAAAAAGTGGTAGGATTTCAGTCTGTTAGTGATGTAAATTGTGTTACCCTTTTTTATTATTTTTTTTTATTTGTGTGTGTGTGTCTGCCGTCAAATTGAATCTGACTGGTACAGGAGGAGATATGCCCCTCCTTCTCCAGCAGAGCATCTGGTAGATTCAAACTGCTTACCCCTGGGATTGCAGTGCAGCTTCTTGCCACTAGGCCACCAGAACTCCCTGTTACCATTTTTTTAAAAGTCTTATAAGAAGTATATCTGTATCACAGACTAAACAACTGAATCATTAAGTCAGGATAATCTGATTTTACTTAGCAGGCTGTTTCAAATGTAGAATGACTATTCACTTTTATACAAATGTTTGTATATATGTGTGTATGTACATGTATTCATTATTTGCATAAGCCTGACATGCACATCCACCTAGTTCCATTTTTGTTAAGAATAAGGGTACACACTTCAGCTGTTCATTGTCTGTCTCAGGACACGCTGTGTCATGTGCAGAACCACAGCAGGTGTGTCTGCCTACGAGGTGCTTCTAGCTGTCTGCACACCAGTCGCCGTGCTAACACATCACATGGAGTTGACCTCAGCAACCTATTTTCCTAATTTAAAAATCCCGAAGCTTGATTGTTAAGGTAAATTGACTAAGAGCTAGATTCACTTCTTGACTTCATCTAATCTCTGTCCAGAGCTTGCCCTATCAGGATTCTGGAGAAAAACTTATTATGTAGGTGACTATAAATGAATCCTGCATTAAATATCTTACATAATACTGAAAATAGTTCGTAATAAGAGGGGGTAATGTGTGTTCATATTCTATCAGAAGTCACTCAGCACTGTCAGGAAAAGGGATTCAGTATCTGATTTCTTTCATAATAACACTGGGTTTTCTGTCCTGGGCCCTTGAGTTCTCGTCTAGGTCACGGGTCTATTCCCATCCCTGGCTGTGCTGTGTCAGTGTGCTTGAGGCTGTGACAAGGACTGGGTCTGCTTCTATTAGGAGGAAACTCTTGATTCAAAATATTTTTCAGGAAAAAATTATAAAAGCCCTCAGATGACTTTTAGTATTGACAACTTGTTAGGTCTACAGAGGCAAGATAGGCTCGCTCTTTCTCAGCCTTCACAAAGTACCTGGTCCAGAAGAATGCACAACCTGAGGCAACTCTAGGTATATAAAGCAATGCTTTGTTGGGAATTTTTATGAAGATTAGTCATTTCTTACTTCTTCTTCTTTTTTATGAACTCCACTTTGTCATCATTGTTTTAATTTCTTCTTTCTGCTGTGTCCCCCACCTTTCTGGTTTTGAATACAAAGAGGCATTTTGATACCCAGTGTATCTCCCAGGGAGGTTCGAATCCATGGGAGAAAGATAGGCAGTCTCCACCCTCGTGATTCACTGCCTCTGAAACCTGACTTGAAGACACGTAATAACAAATAACATGACCCTAACCATGAACCTGGACCATCAGGAGAGTTCAGCAACGAGACACCAGTTCAAGGACTTCAACTTGAAGCCTTTCTCCTCTGTTTTAAAACTTCGATGTCTCCCTATAGTGTAAGATCTCACAGTCCAAAGCCTGGTTCTCAGAGGCTGAATTGCTGGATCATTAACGTCAAAATGCCCATCATTAGCTGCTACCCAGAAGTTTCTTGCCATCTTTTGTGTGTGTCTTTCTCCCTGAGTTACAGTATCTAAACAAATACAGAAAACTGTTGCAGGCAGTGAGATGAGGATAATGGCATTCTGGACATGCCCCGTTCGGTACTGAGTGGAGAAATGGTCGCCTGCTTTTCTGATTAGCAGACCACGTCTGAATGGCAGGAGGTGTCGGTGGTGGAGGAAGGAAGGACATCCCCATGACACCTTCAGAGCCACGGTTGTTTGTTTCACAGCAAAGCTGGGACCAACTTCTGATTATGATTTTCCACCAAACCTGTCAGTCCTATTTGTCGTGCAATTTCCTTCCAGTTTCTGTTAGTATTTTCTTTTGATCTTTTAAATTTTTTTATATGGAGTTTGTGTCTGGGGGTACACACATGCATATGTGAAAACATATGAGTAGGAAATTGAGAAAGGTGGTGCTGTGCTATTGTTTGTGCTATTGTTTGAAAATTCAACCCATCTTTAAACAGTGTTCTGCAGTATATTTCATAAATTTTTCTTCGATAACCTCTAACTAGTAGTATTAAGAGGTTCCCGTTCTTTTGAGTTTTGGCTAACTCATATTCTCTCATAATTCCCCTAGAAAAATGTATCTATGTAGATCTAACATTCATCAGTGGGTATGATCATTACCCATTTTATTATCTATGAGAATCCCAGTAGACTTTCAGATTTATGAATTTAAGGAAGTTAATGCACAGCCTCTTCGTTCATTTCCAGTTTCTGCAATGTTCTTTTCCCCCACACTCATCAGGATTAGCTTTTGTCCTCCTGCACTGCCCTATCTCTATCTGGAAGATACAGATAGACCTGAGTGAATCGGAGGCACCTGATTTCTAATAGCTGCCCGAGACTTCCCGTGGTCCCCATCCCCTGCAGCGCTTTGCTTGGAGAGTTGAACTCCACCTGCCGGTGCGTGTGCAGCACTTGTTTCACCTCCGTAAATGTTGCACACTGGGAGTTCTCTCCACTTGACCATGCAATGACTGACGTTGATGGAATAAAGATGCTAAACACCCCTCTCTACCTTAGGAGCTGTGTCCACACATTGGTGATTGTTACTATCGTTAGGTGCCATTGAGTCTGCTTCGAATCACAGTGACCCTGTGAACAACAGCCCTATACCGGCCCAATCCTGTGCCATCCTTCACGTTTTTACATCCTCAGGGCCCCCGTTACAGTCACTGCACCAATCCATCTTGTTGGGGGTCTCCTTCACGTCCTCTGACCCCCGCACATTTCCCAGTGTGGTGTCCTTTTCCAGAGGCTGGCCTCTCCTGACAACTTGTCCAAAATACATGGGGTCAGGTCTCACCGCCCTCCCCCTAAGGAACACTTCCTCCAAGAAGGAACACTTCCTCCAAGACAGACTCGTTTGTTTTGATGACAGTCCGTGGAACGGTTAGTACCCTTCTCAACACAGTTGAAAACCATGGCTTTTTCTTCTGCCATCCTTACTTAATGTCTAACTTTCAAAATGCGTAAGAAGTAATTGGAAAGATCATGGCTTGGGTCAAGTGTGTGTTCATCTTTAAACCAACAACCTTGCTCTTAAGCACCTAGAAGGGTTCATTGACCGCAGGTTCTCCCGATGGAGCACTTCTTTTGATCCTTAAATGCTGTTACCCTGGGTGTTGATTTGTGGATCCAAGTAAAGTGAAGTCATTGGCAACTTCAATCCTTTCTCCATCTGTCACAATATTGCCTGTTGATCCCAAAGCTGAGGGTTTTTGTCTTCTTGATGTTGAGCTATAACCCATGCTGAAAGCTGGAGTCTTTTGATCTTGAGCAGCAAGTATTTCAAGACTTCACTTTCAGCAAGCAGGGTTATGTTGTCTGCATAACATAGGTTGTTGAGTCTTCCTCAATCCAGCTGCCACATTGTTCATTGTTTTCAAATGATGTGTTCAGCATATAGTTTGAATGTTGTTGTTGTGTATTGTCAAGTCAGAACCAACCCATAGCTGACCTTCCTGCTGGTTTTCTGTGGCTGAAAATCACCTGAGAAGAGATCGCCCATTTTTCTCCTACAGAGCAACTGGTAGATTTGAACTCCTTACTTTTAAAATAGGTCTGGAGAAAGAATAAGGCACTGGTTGCCCCACTTGTAGGTCTGGGCCCATCAGGATAGATCTGGACCTTAGATAATCGCAGCCCTCAGGAACAGGCCATCTTTTTTGCCTACATATTTCCCAGCTGACCCTGCAGTTTCATTTCAAAAGTCAAGTCATTGATGGGTTCCTGTTGGTGACACTCGATCCAGCTAATTCTCCTCTGCAGTTTCTAGAAATGTTGTTTGCTATCTAAGGGAAAAAAACCCACCATTCTTAAGATTTCATTTCAGTGTTGACCTTGGTTTAGCCAACTTCTTTTCATCCTCTCCCCTCTCCTTTAAAAAAAAAAAAACAACCTAAAAGCAATTGCTCCTTGTAACACTTTGAAACAACATAGACCATGTAAAGTTGATTTCATTCTTGCCACAGCCAGTAATCCAATTTGGTCTAATTTTTCCAACTTTTTTCCTAAGAACATGTATATGTTATGTGTATCTAGGTTTTTAAATAGCACGTTGTGTAAAATCTAGTACCGCAGCCTTTGCCACTTTATAACAGAGTGCCGGCTCTGATGCTTTCCATTCAGGAATG